TTCAAGAAACCTAATTACCAGCGGGCCTCAGAATTATAAAACTGAGTTTTAGAGCTGTACCCTCACTAGGAGATAATAGAATGAGTTGCCTTGTCATAAAAACAGAGACACAAGCAAAACCCATGCATTGAGTCAAGAAGATCCAGCATTCAACATCTTAAACTGGAAATAATGTATTATAAAAACATCTATGACAGCCTAATAGACAAAGGAAGAAGGAGTGCAAAGCAGATCAAAGTGATCAACAAATAAAAGGTGTTTACCCCTTAAGTCTTTGCCTATGAGGCCTTCTATAAGACATTTGCCAGATGTGTTTAATATCTGCCCAAGATGAGTATATTTATCAAGACACCATCTCTAGCCTTTACTCAACCAAAAGCCCTAATGCAGTTTGTTTTAAGTCGAAATTGGCATCTCCTAGCTTTTGCCTAAAAAAGCGTATTCTGCAAGGTAGCAGGACATGAAAAAGAAAGTAACCAAGCCCCTGTCCCCGCCCCAGCTAATTTTGTTGGGACCGACTTTTTGCAAACTTGGATTCAACAAAATTATAAAATTTAGCAGGGGTTGATTGCTGGGTTAAAAAAAAAACACATAATACTTCATATATTATAACTTTATTAATAGAGGAAAAAAGCTAGGAAATGTATAACAAAGACTTACACAAAGTTGTAGGTTGTATAAAAAAAAAAAACATAAATATGGGTAATAGTTATAAAGTTTTTTTGATGTGCAAGGAAAAAAACTGGATTAATAAAAGTTTTTACACTATAAAGGGAAATATACAGTAAAAGGATGCAACTTGTTGAATAAGAAGCCAAGAAAGAAACAGTTTTGGCTTATCATAATAGAGATAATAGCTCATTTGAGCATTGAACATAATTAGAGAATCAACATAAAAGAAGAAGGCTTAAGCTTGATGATGATCATGATGGTAATATGATTAGGTTGATCATAATTATGTTTATATATGCATATAGGGGCTGTTCAAATAATATGCGAGTCTTAGAGAGGGTCATCAGATATCAAATGGGGTAGGGGTGGTTTGCTACAGTGTGACGTTAAATTTTTTATTTTTTTTTGTAGTGGTTATGTTGTTTAACATAGCCATAACAAATAAAAATAAAAAATTTTAATTAGTTTTTTTATACATTGACCTTTAATGATCAGAAGAGATTTATTAAAATTTACGCCATAAAAAAAATTACTTGTGGTAATTGTACTCATAAAAAGAAATTTTGATTCTACAAACAGAAAAACCAGATAATGGGTGATTATTTAAAAGCAATTTATGTTACCATTTAAAATCTTATTCTATTTCTTTAACGATTATTATATTTGTATAAATATACTAAAAATTTTAGTATTAATAGTAGCTGAAAATTAGATCTTCAAACATAATACATAATCAATATTTTTCTTGATCGCCATCTGATCAATGAATATTTTAATTTTGCGATGTAATAATAACAACAACATTAAAAACAACTTTTATTTTTAATGTTATTTTTACTTTTACCTTTATTATTTTGTATTTTCTCTTTTTTTTATTATATTTAATATTATACTTAATTTGTCGAACTACTTTAATCAAGTTATTATTTTTTTTATATATTAAGTTATTTAGTTACAATGATATAAAATTTTAGTAATAGTAGTACTATTATTAATGCTATTATTAATACTATCTTTAAAATATACTTATTTAACGTAATAGTTGTAAGGAAAATAAATTTGTTGTTGTTGTTGTTGTTGTTGTTGTTGTTATAGATTAAAAATGTCTAGTGAAGAGGAACAAATTTACAAATCTATTTATGAAGGATATTTAAAAGCATTTGCAAACAAACCGAAGCAAGAAGACTACCAAATACAAAGGCAAAAATAAAAACTTTTGGTAGAAAAAAAAACAAGTACTTCATCAAAAAGTCACTGAATACCAAATAGCAACTAAAATTAAAAAAAGCAATAGAAGCATATTAGAAAAAGTTGTTCAAAACTAAAAATTCAGCATCAAAAGGTCGACTTGTGGTCAGAACAGTTTAATAAAAGCAATTGTAGATATTGCCATTGAAGTGTCTGTTTCTGATGATAGGAGAAGAACTGAAATGGTTCAAACTGTAAAAAACATTAAATGATTTAGTTGAAGAATTGAAAATCATGGTTACAGTATTTCCAGATCAGGTGGTCATGGTTACAATCTCTCCAGATCAGGAGTTTACTTAAAATTACTTCCAAGCAGATCATTGAGCATAGAAGGAAAAAGATGTTAAAACTGCACTATTTTGGTTAATAAGCGCACAAAATTCTAAGCATAAATATCATGCAGACACAAACTTTTCCAAATCATCCATCTGTGCCCTTGAAGAATTTGCAGCAGTCTTGTGCCCTAAAAAAGTGATGTTTCACTCCCAGGATAATAAAGCCAGGGTGCTGATTGGATTGACAGCTGCAAACAAACAAGCACAAAGGATGATACATATGTAGCACAAGGTGACTTTAGCTGATCATGATTTTGTAATTGCTCCTCAACACAAACTTGATTGCAGTCATAGAAAAAAGATTGCATGGAAAAACAAGCAGTCACATACTCTGGCCCAACATACATAGCAATCAGAAGTGCAAAACATGATTCATCAACAGCACTTAGTCACTTGGAAGACATGATCCGAATAAACCATCTTTCTACATTTAAAAGCAGCTTATTTACTGAAGATGGAGTTAGTGAACCAGTCATGATTGTATGATTGTTGATGGTGGGCAAGATGAAAATCCAAGATATGAAAAAACAATTCATTGTGCCAAAACTTATTTCAAAGAGTATGACATTGATGGAATATTTGTCGTCACTAATGCTTCTGGCAGAACTGCCTTTAACAGGGTAGAGAGAAGAATGGCTCCGTTAAGCCATGACCTAGGAGGAAATATACTTCCATTTGATCATTTTGGAAGCCATCTTAATTCAAGAGTAGAAATAACAGACAAAGTTATGGAAAAAGGCAAATTTTGTTAAAGCTGGTGAAGTTTTTGCACAAATTTGGTAAAGCACAGAAATGAATGGATTTGAATCTAAAGCCAAGTACATAAAACTAAACGGTGAAAAATGTGTACAGTTAAGACATTTTGGTGCAAAGTGTGATGATAAACATGTCAGAGAAAGTTAATACTTCCTTCAAATTGTAAAATGTAATGATCAAAACTGCTGCAAATAAGATGAAACAGTGAGCTACAACGATGTGGTCATTGTCGCAGCTCACTGTTTCATCTTATTCCAACTGGTTTTCTTCCACCACCAATTTCTTTGTTCCATGGAGAAGACAGTCTTGAATTCAATAATAAAAAGAACAATTTTGCATCCCTCTTTTTAAACCTATCACTTTGCAAAACAATTTTGCCCACGACAGTTACAAAACAGTATCCCTATGGATTGCCATTTGACAACTCATTTCCAAGCATTCAAATTTTCGTACCAAAAAGTATTTGTACCAATTTGTACCAATTGCAGTTTATATTTTGGCACTATCAAATCAATGAAACAACACAAAACAGTTTGTTCAAGTATTGGATATTCAAATGAGATTCAAAAAATTAGACCTCATCGCCTAGTTGCTCAACGTCTATCTGAACTCATGTGTATCTTTTTAAATTTGGACAAAGAAACAATTGAGTGGTATGATCAGGATGATGTTAATACCTCTGACCTTAACTGGCCTTCAAAAATTATTGAAGAACATGGAATTCTAATACTTCAAGGTCAATGTCCGATTTGAGAACAAATTTAGGTTTTAGACAGATATTCATCAATTGTATTTTTTTAAAACATACACTATTACAATAAAAATATTTATACATTTATAAAAAAAATTTTTTTGTCTTTGTCACATCACAGAGGAAGGGGAGGGTTCTTCAAAATGTCACATAATACGTTTTTTGCCATTATTATAAACCCCCCTCCAGGTTTATAATAATGGCAAAAAACATATTATTTGAACAGCCCCATATATACAAAATATAACATGAATTTTGAATAAAAAAAATACTTTCGGATGTATAAATGTTTATACAGCCCCAGTCAAATACCCGGTCTCTGCTACATTTTATCAAACTTAGCCCCGGTCAAATATCAATCCCAGTTGCTTACTAACATGAAGCAGTTTGTACTGGGTTACATGTTACCAGTTATATATATATATATATATATATATATATATATATATATATATATATATATATATATATATATATTATATATATATATATATATATATATATATATATATATATATATATATATATATATATATATATATATATAAGGTTATCCTGCAACTGCAAATATATATATATATATATATATATATATATATAATATATATATATATATATATATATACATGATGCAGGATAACCTGATATATATATATATATATATATATATATATATATATATATATATATATATATATATATATATATATATATATATAAGGTTATCCTGCAACTGCAAATATATATATATATATATATATATATAAATATATATATATATATATATATATACATGATGCAGGATAACCTGATATATATATATATATATATATATATATATATATATATATATATATATATATATATATATATATATATATATATATATATATATATATATATACATACATGATGCAGGATAACCTGATATATATATATATATATATATATATATATATATCAGGTTATCCTGATATATATCATCATCATCATATGTATATATATATACATATATATATATATATATATATATATATATATATATATATATATATATATATATATATATATATATATATATATACATGTATATATGATATATTATCACTATCATCATTATCATCATCATCATTAAAACTATTTAAAAAGTTAAATTATGCTTATAATCAAAATTTTAAAAAAAGAAATTAGATTAAATTACATTAAATAACAGAAATTGTTATAAATAAATCATATACCGATATAAAAGACATCAATAGCTAACTGATGACAAACATTCTGGACATCCTAAAAAAATAATTTGAATGCTGACACATATTTAGATTACAAATATGTAACTATTTATGATATGATTATTTTATTATACTGAATGAATATTTTCTTTGAAAATTTTTTACTAAATATTACTACAATTAAAATAAAATTATTTTGTTTAGTTATTAATAATAATTTACCACAGAACCATTGACATAAGATCTTAATGTAATGTAATATATATGTGACGAAGACAAAAATATATATTCATTTAAAAGTAGCCCAAATGAAAATATCGAACTAGAATTTTTTTAATTCAAATTTTAAATTCAAATATTTTATAGAATAATATTTTATTTATCTTTCTTTTTTGTTTTAAATTTATAATAGTACATTTTAACTGTTTTGTTTTGAATAGTAATGTAAAAATATTATAAAATAATTTTTGTTTTATAAAGATACAAAATAAAATAAACTCAAATCATAAAAATATGAAACAAAATGTATTTTTTTTGTTTTTATAAAGGCATTACAAACAAAAATTGTCATTTTGCACCTTGTCAAACTAAACTTATGATGCGATACAAGTTGACACATTTATGACTGATGATAAAAAGAATGATTGCAATTATCAACTAAATTAATTACTACTATAACAGTAGCGCCTATAACTTTTATACCTAAATTAGATGGTTCTTTATTCATAATTCATCATATATTGATAGCTTAAAGAGAACAAAAACTATGAGAATGCATATTGTTGCTCCAGCTTTGAGGGTATTAGGTATTGATATTGATGGCAGTGTACTACACTGTATAAATTTTACTGAATAAGTTGCTACTCATTGTTTAATCAAGTCCACAGATATCAACATTTGGAAGATTTAAAGTCGCCACTTTTGAACATAATTATATTTAAAAACTTGCTTTAAGTGACAATAACAAACTTATATTACATTAAAAATGTTACCTGCAAAAATGTAAAAATTTAAACATGTAGTGAAGGTTATAAGAAAATTTGCATTTGAGAAAACTAATAGATAATATATATATAAAACTGTTTGATAATAGTAATAATATGAAAACCAACAGATAAATAATATATTTAAAAATTTTTGTAATAAGACTAACAAAAATAACTGAAATAAGATAAATTTTAGCCAAATGATTGGTTAATAAGACAATGACAAAGAAAAAATACAGCTGGTAAAAAATCAAGAGTGTGTTGCTAAGTTTAGTACTGAACAACTAAAAACAAACAAGACAATTTTTTACAAATTACATTAGATATACTTCATGGAATAAAGATTAATATATTATAAACTTAAGTTTATATTAATATATATTTTAAATAAAACTTAATAAAGTCTCAAGAAACCTAATTGCATGAAGCTGTTGATCTTTAAGGAACAGTTTAAAATAAATGTTTATGACCTCTAGGCAATCAATTGCATCTGCCTTATTACAATTAAAATGTGTGCAAACATGTGGTTTACAGTTGCAATGTATGTGAATGTGTAACCACACATATACAGTTATAACGTATGTAAATGTGTGGTTTACAGTTACAATGTGTGTAAATGTGTAGTTTACAGTTACAATGTATGAGAATGTGTGATTTACAGTTAAAATATATGTGAATATGTGGTTTACAGAACCAATATGTGCAATGCTTCTTACAACAATTTGTGCCAAGGCCAGGGCAATGTGACTATTGTTAATCTTGCAATGTAAAAGCTGTTAATACAGTTTTAATATTACCGAGTTGAGTTATTTACAGTGTCTGTTGTGAACTATGGATGAGTGTGTTCATACTTTGTATGAACACACTGCTCATACATGATAATGCAAAACGGTTTTTATGTTGTTGTAAACGAATAGATACAACAACAAATAAAAGACATATCTGCTGAAATGTTCTCTTAAGACTGTATTTAGTAACAGTAACTAATGCTAAATAAAATAAGATCATTAAACTACTATATAGTAATAAACCAATTTTTGTAAGAAAAATTCAAAATAATTTGAAACTCAGAAGTTTAAGGCTGTTGAGCAATCTGTAGACATATTGTATAGGTATGTTAGTATTACCAAATAAATTTGGAGGGCATGCTGAGTAAAAATGCAAAGGATTTCTTCCAAATACATCCAGAACATCCTGAACCAAAAAACTATACAATAAGTATGAATTAAATAAATTTAAAAATTTGTTTAACATAAAATTTTTTAAAAAGTTATTGAAAATTATTCTCACCAATATCATTTCTGATTTAGCTTCATAATAATGCATATAAACACAAAATAACAATATCAAATTTAATTTATTGCTCTTTTTAAATAAAAAATTTTTTTCAAATATTTCTTTAAAATCATATTTTATTATCTAAACATCAAAAAATTTAACTTTGATTAATTTAATTTAATTTTAAACTATTTGTATCTTACATAGATGAAAAAACTTTTTCTTTAGACTAAAAATTAAAAAAACCTAATTTCCTAAATGTGGTTCCTAATTTTAAAAGCCCCTTATTGAATACTTAACATTGTAAATCTGCTCTGATTCAATAAGTAGTATTCTAGTATAAAAGATTTTAAACTTTAATTTCTCATCATCTTTATCATATTATAATCATTTTCTTTAATTAATTACTTTGAATAATTTTTACGTTCTGCAGCAATTTACTTAATTTAATAAAATATATTATTCAGAAATATACTTACAAACTTTTCAATCTCTAAAAACCGCTCCAAAATTGTCGGTGTATTTGGAAAAAGATTAATTAAGTTTCTCAGATATTTTTCAAGAAGTATTCTTCTTTCATTAATAAAACCTGGATCTTGGTTTGAAATTAATTTCTTTGGAGGTATCAAGTCATTAGGTATTCCAAAGAACTGAACTAACTAAACAAAAGTTAATAGTTAGCTAATTCAAAATGTGACAATATAAATTATAATGCAAAAAAACAATGATAATTGAAAAAAAAATTCATATAAGCCTTTCAAAACACCAAATGATGAATCATTGTATATTAATAATAACTCAAATCATCTACCCCAAATTCTAAAATAAATCCTGATTTCAATTAATAACAGGCTAAACCAAAACTTCTCTAATAAAAATGTATTCAATTCCTCTAAACGAATATTTGAAGATCCCCTTAAAAAAAGTGGTTTTGAAAATTTTGAACTAAAATTTGACCCTGAAAAAAAGAATACAAAAAAGTGAAATAGAACTAGAAATATAATTTGGTTCAACCCCCCATATAAAAAAATGTTTCCACTAACATAGGAAAAGTGTTTTTAAAGTAAACATTTCCCGCCCTCTAATAAATTACATAAAATTTTTAATCGAAATACAATTAAGGTTAGCTACAAAAGTTGCACAAAAAATATGGAAAGAATTATAAAAGGTTACAATAATGCTTTGTTAAACAAAAAAGAAATCCTAAATGAAAAAACAACAGAAAATTATAATTGTAAACAAAAAACAATTGTTTAATGAGTGGAAGTTTTTTATCCAAAAATGTGGTATATAATAGTGTCCCAAATGATGAAAATTTGAAAACCAGGAGACTATACCCTCCAAACTATGTGATTTGGTCTATAAAGATAGAATATATAAAAAAATTTTGATCCAAAATTTGCAACTTTGCTAGATATGTAATTATAAATTCAGAGAGATTTATATTTTTTTACAATTTTACGCGCATATTACTGAGACAATTTTCCTTCAATAAATATAAAAAACCTGAACTTACAAGTTTATTTTGCAGAATTTAATAATGAAATAAACAACCGTTACAGAGAGAAAAAATGTTTTTTTCTCTCTGTAATCACAAAGTTAAAAATCTTTTTTATTAAATTAAACGCATAGGAAAACAGTAATAAAGTATATGCTTTTGTGAGTTGATCTTTTGGCATTTTGGCTTGTAATTTTCTTCTATGATCTTTTGCAACAAGCACTATATTTTGCCTTTGATCATCATTTGTAGATGCTTTCACAAAGTCTTGTATAAGGTTGATGTTTCTTTCTGCGCAATCGTTATTAGTAGAGAGATATTTTACAAATAAACAGAACTTACGAAAACTTTCAGTATTATCCCAAGATTTTACTCCACGGTAAACCCATTGTTCAACTTAGCTTTTTGAAATTCCAATAATTTTAAAAAGATACCAAGATTCTGAACCAACCAGAAGAGATAATGTTGTTTCGGAATCAAGAAATGGAATAATTTAAGGATACCCAATATGAAATGTAGGCATAGGAAATTTAAGTAGGTTATCAACCATGTTTGTTTTTTCATTGTCTTTAACGTTGCGATCTCCAATTGCTAACACAACAAGCTGAGGAGTTAAGTACCACGAGTGTCATTTTATACTCTTTGTTAAGACTGTCCTAATTGGTTATCGTATTGCTCTTGTATTTTAAGACTTGCCCTGAAAGCATCAAGGTCATTCTTGAGTATTTTTGAAGACTGAGAGCTTTTTAAAAACCATGGTGCATAAAGAATGGCGGTAAAAAAACTTCCTATCTGTACCTCATTTTCTTCCTTTTCTGTCATTATTTTAACAATATTTTTTGTCATTTTTAATGTAAGGAGGTAAAGTCCATTTGCCATAAGACGTGCCTTATGACAAGCGCCTGGTTGATGGAATTTAAAATTAGTTACATTTCCACCTAGATAAAAAACAAAAGCAGCTGATTTTTAATCTGATCTCTCTTCTGGAACAGGCGCAAAGGATTCTGGACTTAAAATCTGCAATTTTTGTTAGACAACTAAACTCATTTACTTACTGCAAAAAAATATTGCAATAATGTTGGTATTCCTATATTAATGAATAACAACCCCCTTAGATCCCCCAAGACAAAGTCTAAAAGCACATTGTAAATGTAATGCAGTTATGGTGTAGTAGTAGAGCGTGTCATAAGCGAGTTTACTGAGTTTGACCCCCACCACATCCCTGGTAGTACCAAGCTCAACTT